TCAGAATAAAACTGTGTATGTGCACACATAATATCTGGCCTGTTTCCGTTACGAAATTCTTTTTGTATCTAACTACCTATCCATCTATTATTCAATGTCTAGATAAATGGTACAAGACATGTTGTCTTAGAAACTTTACATTAAGCTAAACTAAGCCAACTGAAAAATCATTGATATAGCTTTTAAGATAAGAAAGAGTGGTTTCATGAAAGGATCTTTTTTCTGTGAATTCATTCTGACAAACTTGTATACTTATAAATATATACTTTATTCATATCGATATTTGTTGATAATAAGAATAAATTACTGAACACATAAACAAAGGAGTGAAATAAACAAGAGCACAAAGAAATATTATGCTTATTAAAAAATTATAAATGTGTTTTCGCAAAAAATGTGAATATTTCAAAGCTATCATGGTAAAACAACTTAAAAAATGAAATGTTACGCAACATATTTTCGCAATCACTGATCGTTACGTAACTTCTTTAATATTTTTATTGAACATCCACAATCTTAATGACTACATTTGCAGTTTATTGATAAAGATAACATTTCATTGTGTTTTTGTTTGTTTCACTACTCTGGTACTATGATCAGTTAATTATTGGCATTGTTAACAAACATTATCGATTACTGGTGAGAAAAAAAGTTACATACTTGTAAGCGCGTAAATTTGAGCGTCAACTTGCCGAAAAGTGATTACATTACCAAGTCACTATTTATTTTTCTGTTCCTATAATTGTTTTGCGTTTAATTATGAGAACCATTATTATTTGTAAAAACTGGGCATTTTTACTTTTGTTTAGATTGTCTTACTACTGTGTATAAACGCCCCCTTACCCGATTGAATCTGACACAGTTGATTGCCTTGGATAATACATTACTGTTGAGTTAAAAAACTGGAACCCAATGGTAGAAATCGTCTAAATCCCTATATTTTAAAGTGTAGATTCGCAGATAGGCACCTTTTCTTACTCTTGTTATTTAAAACAATGAACTCAATAGATTTGCTAAGGAGTACTAGGCTTTTTTTTAGGTAGATAGCTGTTGTAGAAAACCAAATAAACCCATCTTTTTCAAAAATAATAGACTCATGATAAAACTACTGGACCACTTATTTGCTAAGCTTCAAAATATGACAAGAATTTTTCGTTTCTTGGTTTGTTTTAACTTACTGATTATGTATGTTAGCTGCCTAATGTATTCAGGAGCTCTATTGAAAAATCCACAGCCTACTGCAAAGGAAATTGTTGCGAAATTCAAGCGAAAACATTAGAGGTTGTTATATTTCCCTCTTCATGTGTATTTTTTTAGGAAAAATAGATCATTCTGTCAAAGTTCATCAACCAAATGGATTATGCGATAAGTAAATATGTCATAAGTGTAAAACTGGTCCAAAAGGATTCTGATTGAAGATGCATAGTAGTTAATCACTAATGAAAAAATATATATTGTTCTTAAATACATTTCAGATATTAATAAACTGAATGGCTGTTAAACTGAAATTTGTTGTGATATTGCACACTTATGCTACGAATTCCATTCTGTAATCAAATATAGAGTATTGGATAAAGTGATTATTATTATTATTATTAACATTGTATAATCAGATAGTAACACTGAAATATTACCATTTGTAAAGTATTCTTTGAACTATAATTCTTTCTGATGAACGTTTCATAATCACGATAAGTGATTTGAATAAGTCAACAGGTTTGTATGATTATCTAGTTTTTGTTTGAAAACTAATACTTGATTGTTAATTTAAATAATCTATTCACTAAATGTAAAATTATCAGTTTTATTCAAAAAAACATTTACCAGCCATTTAGAAAATATCATGCATAATAATTTTAGTCGTTTATTGGTATATTAACAACAAATTTTATCAATCATACATTAAAAGACAAACAACTTCTAGTATCTATAAAATACTTATAGGGTGCTTGTTTTGTTTTCCTATTTCCGAAAAAAATATTGATTAATAGTTAAATATTTTGTTCGTTATTAACTTCAACTAGTCAATTGCCCAAAATAAATTCTACCCATTATTTCTAAAAGCTTATTAAAACTTTTAATTTTTATGACTTTTCTATAGATAGATAGATATAAAGAATATGTAGTGCTTTTTCTTTCTTTGAACAGTGAAAACACTCTACAGAAAAAGATACACACATTGGTAGTTAACCTGTGTTTTCAGTTCAATTTTAATTGTGCATTAATATGAACATGTTTTAAATAGGATTATATTTACATAGTATTAATTGTGAGAAAAAAATTATTTTGTTCCCTGGGTAGAAGAACTGTTTTCTAACAAGCCAGACTTTTATATCCAATATGAAAATGGTAACTATTTACGTTCCAGCTTGTCAACAATGAAAAACGTTTTCTATGTCAGTGTTATTTCTGTTTACTTTTTTACACATACTCCGGTAGTGGTCAGTGGTTGAAGACGTTAGACATTATGGCTGAAAATAGAACGCAATGGTGAAGATGTACTGATTCTTTATCGTTCACTAGATTTTGAGTTTCAGTATTTCTTTATACGTACCTTTCCATTTACTTTTCTCGAATTCTATTCTTAATGCCTAATCTTTCGCACTATCATTGCTATTACAATTATTTCAACTCCTTTGCTATTCACTATGTTGATTTCATCTAATTGTACTGATGTGGTATGGGTAATGGAGCTAACGTACACTTGTACTAGGCTGTATTTAAACTATGGTTGACTATCAACATTAATGTAGTGAAACTAATTAAATGAATAAACAGTGGAGAAATATTTTTTAAGTTGGCGTTTCAAAGATCGTTTGTAGTCGAAGACTCCAATAAACTAGTGATTACGTACTTAAACATATAGACACAATTTCAGATATCTAACATCTGGTATGATCTTATCAGTTGACTATTTTGTTAGCACTCACATAACCAAAGAAATATATCGCAAACGTACTACTGAATTATGTTCATTTTTTCGATTATTGAATGGCGAAAATCAGGGAAGACATTAATTTAATTACAAAGAAATGCTTTGCGCGAGATAATACTTGGTTATCTAATTATACTACTATTCAGAATGGCTGAAATAATAAAGCTGGGACAATGGATCTACAACCATCTTCTTAGTCTACTGAATTTATAAGTGAAGTGATGACCCTATCATTCAAATATTTGAGTTTCAATCATTGGATAAATCTCATTCATTCTCTTTCGATTACATGTTCATTTAGTATTAGAAGCCTCCATATGAAAGAAGGAAGGATCAAAGTCGAGTAGGTGAAACTACACTTGGCAAATAAGTTGTAGTATTATCAATTATGATTTAACTTATAATCTGTATCTCCTTAATTTCATCTTCGAATTTGTTGTGACTTTAAGACCGGCAAATTATCACATAATTTACTCGCCAATCGAAATACGACTTATTCAAACTTAGTACTGTACCAAGACAATGACGTTCGACCGGTATGAGCAGCCTAGCGTCCTTTGTTCTCCTAGCTCTGTGAACGTGGGAGACTCTAACTAATAAACTCAGCATAATTTAAGAATTGCAAATCATATAATAATAATCTATAGGTCAAAACTAAGTTTGTAATAAGGGGAATATAGATATATATAATCTAGTTACTGAATAGTCATACAATAAGAATATATATATTAGTCCATTAATAGTTTTCAGAAGTTACCCATAATTTAATCTTCCCTAGGATATAACAGAATTATTCTCTTTTATCATTTAAACAAAAATCTAAGAAAATATTTCCAGTCTAGACAAATAATAAAAAGTATTGTTCGTTCAAAGCACTGTCAGTTTAGGAGGTATCCTTAAATATTGGTATTTGTAAATGCTTAACACAATCGGTACTGTTTATCAAAAAATAAAAAGTAGACAATTGTTTTCCTCGTAATTTTATACACAGCAAGGGCATTAATTAGATCATTTAACTATTTCTATCAACCAACAAATAATTATATCATTGTTAAACTGATTTGAAAACCTTAAGGCTGAAACGATATTCAGAAAAAATGTGATGCATCAGTGTCTTGTATTTTAAAGAGGTTCGTGAAATGGAAGTAATTAGCTCAAAGATGATCTAGATCAAATGTAAGTTCTTGTGTGATAATTTGGAAAGAAATACTAATAATATAACGTTATTTGTCATGACCCGGCTGTAGCTACGCAAATGTTAACAGAATGAGTATATTCAACGCAAATATTCTTCAATAGGACTTATAGTACACCGTCACTAACTTTAAATTCAGTCGCCAACCATTGGAAAAACAAAAGGTATTCAAAGGTTTATTCTCTGCTCCAACCGACGCTAGTATATAGGAAAATAAAGGGGCATTTATACATTTCTAGTGTTCTTGAGAATCCCCCATTTAAAATGCGGGTTTTACAAAGCAAGTGGTTTCGAAATCCAAAGTGGTGATAACCAAAAACATCTCTTCATAGTTGATGCAGGTACCGATCTTGCTAAATAGCGCATTACTCAACATTGGTAAATGGGGAAAACCAGATAAAATAATCAGATAAGTATGTTAATTCAATCATCAATAAATTTCAACAAAAACAGATGTTTAAACTCTGAAAAGCAGCTTTTATACAACCTACATCATTATTAAGAGAAGTATATAAAAATCACTAAATTAATGCTGTTTTTGGTGGTGATCGTACTTCGTCTGAGTTTAACAATTTGGAAACCTTCTAAAACTAATTACTAGCTGAGAGTTATACTCAATGTATGGCAATTACTAATATGATCTTATTTTTTAAATATTGGGATTAGAAACTTGTAGCTAATTAGTTAGAATCACAGTATGTAGATAACCGAGAAATAAATTCGAAATCCAAGAATATGATTTGACAGTCACCTTGGAACAAATACAATCAAAGAACAATCTTTACAACTAAGTTTGGTAAGCTGGAAGTAAATTCTAATTTTTATATTCCTTTCCTGCTAATATTTATCTTAAATACTAGAGTGAAAAATGAAGTATTATTATTATTATTATTTGAACACATAAATATTGGTACAAGAGAGCGCCAATATATATGCGCCACACAAAACAATGAAAATTCGAAGAGAAATAGAAAGAAAAAAAAACTAGGGAACGCAAAAGAAAAAGAGAACAATGACGAAGAGATTGGAGTAAGGTAGTGTGGTAGTAACGACGGAACGAAAAGGTACAATCAGAAGAAATCTTTCAGGTAAAGGAGACACAACCACTTTTTAGAAAGAAAGTAAAAGAAGGTTACAGCAGGATCGCCACTGGCTTCTATTCTGAGCCATATCTGATAACGTCTCTAGCCACTGTGTAGCACCATCTCTCGGACCCCAACCAGGGAGTCGTGAAGGACCAACACAAGCCAGTCCTTTGCAGCTTTCTTTCATGCCACGACACCATGTCATGCACTGACCACCTCTCCGCTTCTTCCAACCAGTCCCAGAGTCGGCAAATAATGCACGACGTGGAATTCTCTGGGACGACATTCGGAGAACATGTCCAAGCCACCGAAGTCGGTGTTTCAAGATGGTGACACCAATTGAGTTATCATCTCTGTGCCCGAACACACGATGCCGAACCTCTGCATTACTGACATGGTGTTGCCACTGAATGTCAGCAATCCTTCGGAGACAGCGATGATCGAACACAGAGAGTCGTCTAACGTCCTCAACTCGGAGAGGCCAGGTTTCACAAGCATAGAGCAAAACTGCTCTCACCGACGCGTTGTAGATCCGACCTTTTACAGCCAGACTAACATCACGAAGGCGCCAAAGGTGGCCCAGATTGGCATAAGCCGCTCTGGCTTTCACTATTCGTGCATTGATCTCATCACTCACACCCCCACCAGCACTTATGCAGCTACCCAGATACACGAACTTCTCAACTACGTCTATCTGCTCACCGTCCAGGGTGAGTACAGGATTAGAATCCTGCCAGTCTTGTAGAAGTACTTTGCACTTCGAAGGTGCAAAGCACATACCATACCTACGGACACTGATTGCCAACTGATTAAGTGCGGATTGCATGCCTTGGGCATTATCGCACAGTAAGACAATATCGTCCGCATACTCAAGGTCGAGAAGTCTTTCTCCAGGCAACAGATCCACACCACCATTACTTACATTCATCAGAGCTGTTTCCAGAATGTCATCGATGGCAAAGTTGAAGAGGAATGGTGAGATTGGGCAACCCTGCCTAACCCCACTGCTCGAATGGAACAATGGAGAGAGGTGGTTGTATGCCCTCACTCTGCCTGAGGTGTTTTTATACAGGGCTTTCAGGATGTTAATAAACTTCTCAGGCACACCCTTCTTCAATAGACAATCCCAGAGAACAGTCCTGTCCAACGAATCGAAGGCAGCCCTGATGTCAAGAAACACTACGATTGTTGGCCTTTGAAAAGTATGGCGGTGTTCTAACATTTGGCGGAGGGTGAAGATATGATCAATACATCCTCGACCAGAACGAAACCCAGCCTGCTCCTCGCGAGTCAATCTTTCTCGGGTTTTGAACAACCTACGAAGAATGACGGAAGCCAATAGCTTGGACGCAATCGGAAGTAAACTTATCCCCCGATAGTTGTTACAAGAACGACGTGAACCCTTTTTAAAGATAGGGACAACTATCGACTCATTCCATGACGTTGGTACACACTCTAGTTCCCAAACCTTTGTAAACAACGTCGTCAATTCCTTAGTCAAAAAGTCACCACCATCTTTAAAAAGAGCCGGAGGTAAGTCATCTGGGCCAGGTGATTTGTAACGCTTCAAGAGTTGGAGTTCCTTGCGGACTTCCTCCTCATTTGGTGGATCAGTCGTCACCGGCCATGGAGGGCAGGACAGTCTGACCGATGTTGCCGGAGCAGCAGGCCAGTTGAACTGCCCTTCGAAAAATTCTGCCCATCGTCCAAGACGTCGATGGATGTTAGTGATTGGCATCCCATCATCCTCGCAGATTGTTTCACTCACACCAGACTTCTTGCTGCCAGTGGCTCGGATGAGCTGGAAGAGCTTCCGGTAGTTACCAGATGCAGCTGCTGCTTCCAGCTCATTAGCACGCATCGACCACCAGGCTTCTCGGTCCTTACGCAAGCTTTGCCCAATCTCCTTACGTAACATCCTTCGTTTATGGTCAAACTCACGGTCACCCGGAGTAGACCGACGGGCTTCAATGAGTTGTAAGGAACCAGAAGAAACCCAGTGCTTAAAGCGGGACGTTTCGCAAACCCACAACTGACTGTTCCCGCCATTTTCATGGCGTCATGCAATTGCAACCAATGCTCATCTATACTTTTCGGTGGAGTGGTAGCTAGCCTAGAGGCTAGCTCGGTTCGATACTTACTTGCAACAGAAGTTGCAACCAGCTTGCTAACATCAATCCGTTGATGGCGTTCACTTCGTTGTCCACTGAAAAGTAAGGTAAGATTGGCGCAGACCAAGGCATGGTCAGAGTCCAGATAGGTACTCCAAAAGGAGCGGCAGTCTTTTACACAACCACGCCAGCGGTAGCTGATCGCGATGTGATCAATCTGAGTCCAGGCTTGAGATGCAGAGGGAGGACGCCAGGTGGCACATCGGCGATGACTGTGCCGAAAGTTAGTGCTAGCCAGAAACAGGTTGTGGTCTGTGCAAAGTTGCAGTAGACGGTCCCCGTTATCTGACCTGCGACCAACGAGTCCCCATCGGCCACCTAAACGACTCTCTTCTGTGCCTAGACGCCCGACCTGAGCATTCAAGTCTCCGGCTAGTACTACAATATCTGTCGAACGCACTTTCTGGAGAAGAACTGATAACTGGTGGTAAAACTCATCCTTGATTGCATCCGGGCTGCAATCTGTCGGGGCATAGGCGGAGATGACGAAAAGACATCGTTTCTCACGCCGATTTCTTCTCACTTTGATGGAACTTTCTAATCTAACAGCACATAACCGACTGTTAATGGGGATCCAATCGACTAGTGCTGCCTCAGCTCTAGCGCTTAGTGCGACACCAACGCCAGCAAGACCAGACGAAGATGCCACAGGGTCCCCGGATAAGCGCACGTAAAACAAGCTTTTCGAAGCGACAGATGGAGATCGAATTTGTAGTACTTCGCCAGAGTCTTGAATACGGGTCTCGGATAGACAACACACGTCGATATTAAGACTTTCCAAAGACATAGCCAGCCCTATCTGTTGTCCGACCTGCATAAATGTGCGAACGTTGAAGGCAGCCAGTTTGAATGGTGCACGTGGTTTCAGAAAATCTGCTTCAGTCCTCGTATTCGGTGGTAACATACAATTTTCAACCGGACAGTGACTCGAGAACGTATAGATACAGTCGGATTTCCGCCAAAGACGAGCCGCTGTATAAGTATAAAAGAGGGTGAGTAATGTGGAAAATAATAATAATAATGATAATAATAACAATAATGACAATAATACTAGTAATAATAATAACAGTATTAATAATGACAATAATTGTAATGATAATAATCTGAATCAATTGTTTGTTTTTCAAAGCAAGAAAGGTAATTTCCGTAGGCATAAAGAGTTCATCATTTGTGTGTGGGCTGTGATACTGCCCGGGTGCCCAAACCGAAGCAGGTGGTTATCTTAGGGGGCCACTCCCCGAGCCTTTGACCTAAAGGTCTAACCCACAAGGCAGTGGAGCATCGTAAGGAGATGCAGTCCCATGGTAGCCGGTGACCAACGATTGGTTCATACGCCATTCGTTCCCGCAGGATACTGGAGCCCATGTGCACCATTGATTTGGAATCCGGTTAAAGCGCCGGACATTCGCTTTTCGTCCTCTCATTTTCGTAGACAACACCCCCGCCACGAGAAGGCAATGAGTAGGACTTCCCTGGCAGAGGCTGTATACGCGTGGCCGTGTGAGAGTATTTCGAGAGGGAGAGCGGACTCTCCCCACTCTCGGCCGTACCAGGGCATTCAGGGGGGTGAAAATGAAGCATACTTGTTGTATATAAAGAAGATAATTTTTAGGCTGGTAATTGTATATTTCATCAGATTATAAATTTACTCAAAACGAAATAAATATTCATTAGTTTAAACAAATATTTCACTCACTATTTAAGAAAGAAATTCACCAAGTAAACTTAGTGGACAAATTTATTATAAAAAGATGGAATTAGATTAGATCTCTTCGAACGATGTAAATGAAAAGTGACATTCTTAGGATAGTTCGTTTTCCCAAAAGATAAACACTATACTCAATAAAAACTATTTATAAATATAACTGCAAATAAAATAACAACCAAATTAAACACAAAAATACAGATCTCATTTAAAACAAAGAAAAATAGAAAAACAAAGAACTATTTTTTGAAGGTCGCACATTTCGCAGCCACTTTAAATAACATTCGAAAATTGTTAATACAATATATATATATATATATATATATATAGCAGTTGATCAATACTTTTCAGCGTCTTAACTTGAACAGTTACACAAAATCTAAACATTGAAAATATACTATAATCTCCCGTATACCAATGCTGTAATAGAGTATTCAATAGATAAATAAGTGGACTTGACAAATTCCTAAAGGGTACATTGACATTATTCCAAGATTAAATTTAAGTCTTGTAAATCTTACATAAAAATTCCAAGCTTGGTTTTGGATAGATCAATGAGAGGTATCTAAGATAACGTAATTTCATAGTTATCAGTGGCAACTAAATCTCAAGAATTTTTAGGCTTTTCCTATAAATCGAATTTTAACAAGAATATATGAATACAGTTTTAGTCAGCTTTCAAATATTACCCTGATGATGTGTCCTTTACAAACCAATATGACCACTAAAGTCGACTTATTGATGTAAAATGTTTGAGACTACTAATGTTACTAAGTAGCATTATTGTTACTGGTAAAAGTTTTGAAGTCAGGAATTCTAGCATAAACGGATACACAGATTTCCGGATGACTTGGAAAATAATTAGACTGAATACCTGGAGTTATCGGCTTTTATATTTCCCTTCTATTACATATCAGGAAAGTAAATGTGTTTCTACGGCCTCATTGAAATTGTGTTTAAAACTAGAAATACGATTAGTTATTATTTATTATAACACATAGATATTGGTACAAAGAGGCAACAAACACATATGCGCCACACAAATCTCACTCGATGTGTGAGGGCTGTGATACTGCCCGGGTGCCCAAACCGAAGCAGGTGGTTTTCTTAGGGGGCCACTCCCCGAGCCTTCGACCTGAAGGTCTGATCCACAAGGCAGTGGAGCATCGTAAGGAGATGCAGTCCCATGGAAGCCGGTGACCAAAAATTGGTTTGTACGCCGTTTGTTCCCGCAGGATACTGGAGCCCATGTGCAAAATTAGTTTGGAATACAGGTTAAAGCGCCGGACATTCGCTTTTCGTCCTCTCATTTTCGTAAACAACACCCCCGCCACGAGAAAGCAGTGAGTAAGACTTCCCTGGCAGAGGCTACATACGCGTGGCCATGTGAGAGCATTTCGAGGGGGAGAACGGACTCTCCCACTCTCGGCCGTACCAGGGCACTTGGTGGAACGATTAGTTATAGCATACACAATAATTATTTGATTCACAGATTTAGTTACATATTGCTAGTTTTCTTATAAAGTACAATGGTTTACCCTTAATGCGAAAACTATTCATATGTTTTGCAGCCTCTTTAATTAATTCTGCATATATTTACAGTTCATGACTAGACTCATATTTAATCGCACTTAATAAATAGACACACTCAGAACATTACTTCCACCAACATATTCCCTGGCTTCAGTTAAAGGGTCTAAAAGACGGATACTCTTGATTAAATGTTTAACTTATCGCATATCATTTGTGTTTTAAGAATTATGTAGTGTGCTCATGCACCAAAATCCGAATTACACCTACCCCAGATCATAATTGTTGTTAGTATCATCCCTGCTATCCATCACACTTATTCTACGGCGATCTCTTAATTATTAGTAAAATACTGACCAAAAAGCGAACTTCCAATAAAAGAAATATACCAGGGACATAGAAATGGTACCCGGTAGTGCCTGATGCCTTGAAATGATGGACGGGCTTGCATATCATGACCACTCATTAGAAGTATATTGGCTGGAATATTCATTCATTTAGGTTCTATGTGGTATTTGTACGAACTAATGGCTCTTTTGTACTTGATTCCCCGCTTATTAAGAATTCCAAATACAATACGTTCGTTCGTTCTGATCTAGTTCCATCTGGCTTGAATTACGCTACTTCTGGAATTCCTAGTTAGCACTTCAATTCGAATACTTCTAATCATTATATTCTACCACATCAGCCAAATTAGTTCGAGGATGATAAGAACAAGAGCTGTGAACTCGTTGTTCGATGACGAGTTACGTTAGCTAAACCAACCCCGTACCATACAATTAGTCAGTCCAACAACGATCTTACTATACTCATTTATGGTGCGATTTTGTAAAACAGCAGTGGCAGCTTACGAAATTCAAGCGCGTGAAGGGTAACTAGAAATCGAGACAACAATAAACCCAATAATAACTTTACTGAGTTTTAGTGGATATAGTAGTACTAATATATCCGAAATCATTAAGAAGTATACAGATATTTATGTTTATTAGAACAAGTCGAGGAAACACAACAGATTACGAAATACGTTGCAATCTTGGGAATAATACTTTATACAGGCGCATGACACAAAAATGATCTACTGAACCAAGTTTGAAAACAAACAATAGAAAGGGTTTAAAAGAAAGTGAAGAAACAGTATAAACAAACACATACTAATCAATAGCACTCTGGACTAAACATCAAATACAGAACATCTCCTATAAGAGATTTAGTTCATGTATCATCATACAAGTCACGAGTGCGCATGAAAAGCTGTTGACAACTTTATTGATTGGTGATGCGTTCATTAACAAACTCTATTATTGTGTCGCTATCCCAAGTGTCGATAGGAATCTCTTCTTGCACTTGTCGTTTCTCGTTAAGCATGCGAATTGTAGGTCTATGACCTCTTTCGTATACCACTTTTAGATTAGTCATACTCTTCCGATCCTTGCTGTCAATGAATGCTAAAAAATAAATTTCCAAAAACAAATGATATATTTACTGGTGGTTTAGATGTTAGGATGATTTACCTCTACTTACTTTAGAGTTAGATATAGCTAAAAGGAACACTAAATGGTTATAATTGCAAAGATGATTAGATTCCCCTAAACAAGCCAATAAGCATTTAGTTTTACTAAACTGACTTGGTTATCTAAAAAGAACGTCTGCAGTAGTAGGTTCAAGTTTTACGGTATCGCTCTTTTTTCATTGTTTTAAACTTGGTACGCAGAACACAGCACATCTTACACAATGAAGAGATTCACGACCAAAGTGAACTGAACACGTAGATCTGTCCAGGTTAAAATAGTATTTACAAATGGGAGAAATAATGCGAGATCGACAAATAAACAGCTTCAGAAACGAAATATAGTAAAAGAACCCTACATCCTACCAAATTATGATTTGGGACAAGCCTTTGGGCTATTTGGGCGATTAAGACACGCTGTATACACAAAATGCTCATATTTTAAGTGCGATAGAATGTCCATACCAAAAAGACATTTCCCAAAAGACGTGAAAACCACATAGATATTTATCTTGTGTAGTTTGCCTCTACGAAACGCGGTATCAAAGACGGTTACGGCTACCAGATACCCCAATATTTCTACATGATCAGAACCTTAATACTCTTCTCACTGTATGAAATCTCATCACCACCATAACCTATTTCTGATGAGTTTGTGATATCCGGTTAAAATAGACACAGTACAGTATGGGCTTACTTTTACAAAATATTTATATGCTAACGATAGTAATTCAGACATAGACAGACTTGTGACTATCGAAAAGTTCGACTAGCTAATAACTACTACATACTCCATGGCGGGAAATTAGCGAAATTTAACATTACTAAATACTAACGATTCCTATTTTCTATCAACAAAAACTTACCAAGCACTTGAGGATAGCGTTCTAAAGATCACGAGCAAGTTACTAGTTCTGCAAAAGCATATTTCTGTGGAAATAAACTAGGAAATCTAGATACCTTAGAAGCTCCAGATACATTTTCATCTTCACAACACTGAAAACAAGATGTTTCAATCTTTTCTAATTTGAACTTCTTCAACTCTGAACATGAGGAGCATTTGAGTAATGAAGTGAACCCTGAAACAGCACAAGATTTTGTGTCGTTAGCAGGAACACTAATCTGTAATTAAATTAGATTTTAGTGCACCCAAAGGCTTATTGTCCTTACAAATAATGAGAGGAAACAAACTAAGACATCGGCGAGCAACATTACAACATCAGCGGTACCACGTATTCCACTTCAAAGTCACTAAGTAGTGAAGACAAACACAGCTGTTGTTTACTTGTTTTAATATGGTCACCCAATTAGAAGGTGATCAAAGCTTTTATTTTTGCATTTACTCAAGTCTCAACACCATAACGATCAATATGTCTGGCAAACGCTTTCGTAATACATTATTCTCAGGTAAATACCAAACTAGAGAGAAATTATAAATTAGCGGTTCCCTGAGATTTATATTCGGATGTTAAACAAGAGGCCTCGGGTGTAAATAGTTGTACTCCTATTATGAACCACCAGGGACAGTGAAGAATGAAACACTTGTTAATAATGAAACTGGCGATTGAGAAAATCACCAGAAGTAAAATCCCACATGGCTAATAGGTCTGCAAAGATAAATGACTCTTCAAAATGAATAACTTTGTAGATACTTGGTATGAAAGTCGACTCTTTCAGTTTCCCATGCTTTACTACACGGTAATTTCAGGTCATCTCTCTTGGATATATCGCGAAGCACCACATTTGTGAAGCTTTTAGTCATCTAGACAATCAGCTTAGAAATCTAGTATTCACCTGACTCCGCTTCCATTCAATATATTATTCGTCCCGTTCATTTTCTTTTTTCCATCGTTTGCCTTTTCATATTTTAGTGAAAGTCACCTCATATCAGTTGTAAATTATGCTACCGTGTCAGTAAATTGGTTTGCCTAAACCGTCAAAAATTCACGAAATGGCGTTCGCTCATCCAGTTGGGTGGGCCCCGTTTGGGTTAGGTTGGTTTATTGTCGCTCGCTGCTTCACACGAAGTGTTTTGCTGTGAGGAGATATTTGACAGAGTAAAATCATTGATAGTATTACAATTAACACCAGACCTTATTCAAGTTCCTGCCTAGTTGACTAACAGCTCACAATATGCCTCATGAATCGATATCGCTTTCTGTAAGTTGTGAAATTTGTCAGTGTAAAATGTTTTGGTTATCATTACCTTACCCGTAGACTCCTATTGAAGCTTGAGTAACATTGAAAAAACGGATGACGTAAAACGCATAATTCTGTGGTTTTACATTATTGGGGCTTGCATAAAATACTTTGAGATTCTCGTAAATTTATCCCCGTTAGTCACAGATATAGGTAAGCATGTTGGTCGTTGATTGGCTCTATAGATCTGGGATCCTATGAGCTGCTGGGTTTCCCATGTATCTATCAAGATTCTCAAACGCCTAAAATACTCCTCTTCACCTTTTTTACGGATGAATTTTCCCGAACTTTTCGGTCATTCCGTCTGTAAATATATGACACAGATCATGTGTATATTATAGTTTGCATATGCCTACACACCTACTTGTATCTTCCATTACCATAAACTTCGAATCACATCTTAATGAAATATAACAGGCCTATCTTACTTCTCCGATCCACATCTCTCGTCGTCTGTTTGCTTTAATACATATCCGAAATATGTGTATCCAGAAGCACTCTCGTACTAGACTTTCGACATACCGTTGCTCTAAACGTGTTAAGTAGGTAGAACACACGTGTAGTGAGGTAGGGCATAAATTTCGCTTACTTTAATAACGCTCGACCATGAAGGTTCCAACCAGTTCTCCGAACTATCATTACCTGTGCAAGACCTTTGAGATTATGAAACAAACAGCTTACAAACTGTGGTCCCGTAATTCATTATATATTCTTAAGAGCCCCATTTTGGCTGAAAACTTAGCGTTTCTGTGTGTTAGTTTTAACAAGGTGGTATTCGAAGTGCTTAAGACAACTCTTTAGGAGATGGAATGCCCAGAATCGCATGATCAACCTTTGTCTATGGTGTTCTAAGTGTGGATAATAAAGGAGACGACATAGTGAGTGGTTGTTAAGGGATCATTAATATTCCCAAACACGTTTTTACTCATCCACTACCACTTTTAAGAATTTATGACGAAATTTTTATTTACGTTTTTGGCTGGTCGCTCCCCATCATAGATTCAGGTTCAGATTTACGTTTTGAGGACAGAAGACCGAGGGCCTGCGCTAGTCATCTTTTCCAACGAGCTTATTCGAGTCTCTGACCTCTAATGAGTCAATTACTTATTATTATTATTAATATTATATTTTGGTACAACATAGAATTCTCATCATAGGTTATTTCAACAAGATTCTTTGGCGAAAAATACAAAGACAAAGACAAAAAAAGGAAAAAAGGCTAAAAAAAATCTGAAAAAGCTGTACAACTTTCCAAACTAGAGACATGTTATGAATAGAAAGATAACTCATTATCACAGTAAGATGTAACGGTAGTATAAATGTTTGTGCAGTCATAGTTTAGAGTGATGCTGTGAAAATCTCAATTAAGTGCGGAGGATAATTTCACAGACAAATAAATAGGCAGCAAGAATCCAAGTATGTGCGTCTATAAAACTGCTTGATCAGGCCCTCACTTGCACTGACCTGGCACGTACGGACACATCTGCGCCCCACTCTGACATCATAGGCTCTCTCCATTTCTAGACCGAAATGGACTTCAAGTTCAGTTTGCTTTATTTTTCCTACTTTGCAGTTGTATTAGTTACTTTTCCCACCATTTCTTCACTTGAAGTAGACAGGTAACTCACTGGACCTATCGATACTGTTCAACCAAACTCGGTCGCTTAGGGACAATCACTACCACCCTAAAATGTCAAGAGGACCGCACAGTCGACTGCCAACTACCAGTGTTTTTGCATCTATGGAGCCTGTTACCAATCAACTGGTTAGGAAAAAACAAGATAACATCAACACCAAGTTAATGTGAGTTTTTTCCTGTTTAACCTGAATTAGCTTTTTACTCTCCTGTACACTATCTTGACTAACAATTAATATTAATTCTCCACTCCTTATCCTATCTACAACTCATAAACTTCTATACTTCTCCGACTGCTTTAATAAACAACTGCGGAATTATGGTCTACTATGATATTAGTACTGCTCGAATAATAGACCTAATCCTAAAATTGTAGATTCGTCATGATATAACTCCCTAATCTATAAGATCTTACGTCGAAGTCACACCATCGACTACGCCAACTCACTGTATCGTATCAATTACCAATACATGATGTAGAACAACGTTAGGCTAGAGAAGGAACAGTATATTTAATACGAATAGAAGACATAAGATAACATTCAGATGGACCACGCCTGAATGGTCGAGCCATGCCATCCGATTAAACCCAGTCCATTCAATTCATTGTCCCCGCCTTTTCCATCGTTAGGTATTTCTCCGCGTTAAATATTGAATATTTATTTTCCGAGTAGTGTTGTGTTCAGCTTTGAAGATTGTGTGGTTATGATCCAATGCCACTACACTACTCTCCCACCAGAATCAACGTGATGTTGGTTCGATACCAAATTGGATGGGATCGTCGCGCGCCGGAGGTTACCAAGGATAATAAGAATCCTCCGGGTATTGGTAAGCTGGAAGATAAATCAAAAAGAAAGCGGCAGCATCTGGTCGGGAAATACATGTAATAATTTTGAAATATCTGCCTTCATGCTTAAAACGCTTGAAATGAAAAATTGGGTAAAGATTATTTGAGCTATAAAAAATGGGATTACAATAATATTAATAATAAAACGATGCGTGTTAATAGCCGTTGGTTAATAACTTAACGTATAGGTAGTAAGTATTTTGTGTTTAGAAATATTAAAGTAATAAATGTTGTAGAAATATTAATATTGGTATTAGTTTTGGTTTAAATTATGAAATCAAATAACGATTATGCCGGTATGTTGTCCATATGAGTTGATTTCCAATTGCATCTGTATTAGTAGGCTAACTGAAGGAACAAAAGTATTACCGTGGAGAATTCCAACTAGTGTTCCAGTTAGTTTGATACGGTTTATTTAGTTACGGGGAGATTTCCTCAACCTCATTTTTACTTGACCGTGATAGAATTTAGTACACTACTAATACACATGAATGGTTATCAAAACAAAATTTAAATACGTGAGTGATAATTATATGAATTTTGGACAGATAGCTAGGAACAAATCGTTAAACATGAGTGTATTCGTAAGAGACATGCTCTAGACTCAATGTTCTGATCTACGGCAGACTATTTATATTTATACTTGCCAGCTGATGATGCATACAAGTTAGTTGCAAGTATGCAGTTTATCATAAGGCGGAATACGATTTAATTGAGATATAGTGGTTATAAGTTATTAAAATCAGTTAGGCCTGTGTCATATTACGAAGTGATGTGGTGCTGCAAGATGTATTTAGCTAAATAAGTTTTTACAAGATGATTAATAGTGAGTGATGCTCATGTGATTATCAGGGAGAACATAAGTTGTAACCAGGGGAGTACACTCCCAACTCATGTCTATGATAATGGCTTGAACCTTAGTCAGTGTTGGGGTAAATTCGACATTGATGTTTTCAGTTTGCAGGAGATTTGCTCGACTGCTTATACTGATTATTTGCATGCATGATTGTGTCGCTAAACCATCAATTAGACTGACAAGGTTTTGAGATATTTACTGAATGAGCAACTGATAGAGAAACATACTGTAATCATCTGTGATGGATGAAGATAAAAGAAAAACAACACTAGTGATAATTATAAGTCAATTTGCTGACCGATTTTGTTAATAGTTTCATTAATTTTATCAATCATATTACGTGATTGTCAAGTCATGACAATGCTTTATGACGATATCCTGAAACTATTACGTTTAACTAGTTATAGTGTTGATTAAAGATTAGTCAGTGGAAAAATAGGTATTGTTGCTTTAGGTGATTCGAAATTATCAGAAATTTATAACGTTAAAGAATCCGAGACGCCTAATTTAATTATAAATTTCAATTCAGAAATATTCGTTTAGTGTTAATTCTAGTAGGCTGAGTTTTGATTTTAAACGTTTGTTTAGCCAACAGCTACCTGAGTGTTTAGTTCTTTACTAGTGCAGTTGATAGTACCTAAATTTTTAATCTTATTATCTAAACTATGTTCGCATTTTAGGCTGCTAATATGATAAACCAATCCATAAACCCAAATACGATTAGCAACAACGACTATGATGGGTTTATTGATAAATGTTAAAGGCGATCAGATGATTTCTAAATTTAGAAGACATGGAGATATAGTGTAACGTATGTATGGGCCAGGTTAACATGCAGGTTGTTGACGTATAGGACGATTTAAAAATAATGAACATGACCAGAAAATAATTTTAAAGTTCAGACTCCTTGTGAAA